GTAGAACAGGTGATTTACGGACTTGTTGTAGATTTTGTAACCATAATTTGTGTTATTTAATTCGCTAGAAAGTGGTATTAGCGCTAAACAAAAGAGAAGTGGGGAGAGAGAATCTCCCTGAAAAATTCCACGCTTGATTTTGATAAGTTCAGATTTGAGTGATCCATTTTTATGGGAAAGAAAAAGTCTAGTTTTCCACTTATCCATGCTTGATTTTAAGAAATTGGTGATAATAGGAGAGAATTTATATATTTATATAGCTTTTAGGATCCAGTCATGGGGCACACTATCAAATGCTTTTTTGTAGTCTATCCACGCAGTGCTAAGGTTCCTATTACTTTTACGGCAGTTTTCGAGAATCGTTCTATTTATCAGGAGTTGATCTTTGCATCCATATGAGTTTCCTTATTATTAGTATTATTATTATTACTATTATTATTATTATTATTATTATTATTATTACTACTACTACTATTATTATTATTATTATTACTGCTGTTATTATTGTTACTATTATTGTCATCATTATTATTATTGCTATTATTATTATCATTATTATTATTATTGTTATTGTTATTATTACTATTATTATCTAACATTACCATCATCATTATTACTTTTTCGTCATTATTATTATTAGTATAATGATTATTGTTATCACTATTATTATTATCAATATCATTAGTAGTATCATTATTACGATCATCATTATAATTATCGCCGTGGATATTCGTCCGGCACCGGATCTAATCACATTTTGGCTATTCTTCCGGCACGCATGCGCATTAACTATTTGCGTGAGTTTCGTTGTTGTATCTCTTCTCTGTTGGGATATTTTTCCGGCATTTTCTGACGGACACCTATCCTGTAGAGCTATTTTCCCAGCAATATTGCAGGATGCAATTTTTGTTTGCCATTTATTGAAAATCTCCAGCTTGTCATTATTTAGCAAATTTGTTTGTTTTCAGAGGTTTCCGTGTGGAAAATAAATAGCAGAGATAGCAGAGATAGATAGAGTGTGATAGCAGAGGCTTGGGTTGGGTTGTTAGGTTAGGTGGTTACGTTAGGTTAGATAGGTTAGGTTAGGTGGTTAAGTTAGGTTAGGTTAGATGGGGTGGTTTGGTTAGGTTAGGTTAGGTGGTTAGGTTAGGTAGGTTAGGTGGTTAGGTTAGGTTTGGTTAGGTTATATGGTTTGGTTAAGTTAGGATAGGTGGGGTGGTTAGGTTAGGTTAGGTGGTTAGGTTAGGTTAGGTTTAGTGGTGAGGTTAGGTTTAGTGGTTAGGTTAGGTTGGGTGGTTAAGTTAGGTTAGGTGGTTAGGTTAGGTTAGGTGGTTAGGTAGGGTAGGTTAGGTGGTTAGGTGGTTAGGTTAGGTTAGGTTAGGTTAGTTTAGGTTAGGTGGTTAGGTTAGGTTAGGTGGTTAAGTTAGGTTAGGTTGTTAAGTTAAATTAGGTTAGGTTAGGTTAGGTGGTTAGGTTAGGTTGTTAGGTTAGGTCAGGTCTTATTTCTGCTGGACAATCTTGTTTGAATGTGCTTAAAAATGATAAATATCAGCATAGCAGATCAGCATACTGTAGTTACAAGACTGTTAAGTTTAGTCTTTGTGTAAATATCCTACTCAAAAATCCAGATCGACAACCATAATAATGCCGCCAACGTTTGTTTTAATGATTGCACATGCGCGAGTGTGAGTTCGTGCGCAAATAGTTAATGCGCATGCGTGCCGGACGAATAGCCAAGATGTAATTGTTTCGACTGTCATTATTATTATCCTTACTATTATTATTACTAATATCATCATTGTTATTGTTAATCAAGGAAATAGAAGAGAAAGGAGCAAAAAGAAAGGATGAGCAAAGAGAAAGAAAAACGAACGAAAAGAATGCTATAAATAATATTGATATTTGTACTTTCTAATATACATCATGCCTTTATAGTTAACTGGCAAATGTTTGTTTATCTGCATAGTTATGTTGTCTTAAATACTTGTAAGTCCTCAGTCCATTGTAATTAAGTATCTTGAGGATTATAAAATGACGGCGGTTCGCCGTTGCAATTGTCGCCTGGAGATTACTGCTGTGGCTGGGCACCACGGCGGGTAAGGACTAGGCAGAATTAGCACCAGCTGACACACGTTAGCGAGCATATTGGACTTATCCTTGTAAAATATAAGACAAACGGGATTAATATATAAACCTCAATAATACACAATATCCTCTGTAGTCCTGTCTTCCGCTGACGATAAACCTTATCGGACTAATCACGGCTATATTTACAATTTGGCTTCTCTGAAATCAGCACGGCCTTAACGTACTAAACACGGCGGTAGAAACACTGTTTGGCCAAGAGACATCATTCTGGGCTTTAAGGGACCTATACCGCCGTCAAACGAGAGAGAGAGTTCATTCACGTCTCTATAATAACAAACGCACTAGTGATAAACAACAAGACAACACATTGGTGTAGGAGTTTTGAAACGCCTGGTGATCTAATTGTCACCTTTCAGTGATTTGCAAGTGTTTGTGCCACTTGTGTCTCAGGATACCTGACGGGATAACCTGAAGTGACGTTGCAACCTCTAGCAACACCAAAGATGACATTACATCTATTAACGCATTCCGAGCACCGACTTTCTCGAGGATGGTTCACCATCCTCGAGTGTTATTTTAAAACGCACCGCATCAACCAAAGTGTCATCAAGTTTAGTCATGCAACATCTCTCCTGCCTCCAGATGTTTTGGTTCAAGTTTCAGATGTCATTGCAACTGCTTCAGGAACTTCAGGAACTTCTCAGCAAAGAACTTGCAACAAAAAACCTGATTTGTTACGTCGAATGAAGTTCCTTGGTGACTATTATGGTAATTTTAACAAGATGCTCTTTCAACAGCTTTTCTTCCAGCGTCTTTCACATATTCAAGTGAAGCTCACCATCGGTGAACTCGCTGAATTAGCAGATGAGTTTATGGCGTCTCTTCCCACTTCTCGTTCTATGACTGAAGTAGCTTCCACATCTCAAACAGAGCAATTGGCAGAACTTTTTGCCAAACTCACTACCCAGGTTAATGCTCTCCAAAATCAAGTACAACGTCTGTCTCATCGCATTTCTACCAACAATACAGGTCAAGAAGTCGGTCCAGTTTCAGCCCTGCAACTTCAATAAACCCTTAAACAGCAAAAGCGAACATTAGAGAAGCATAATGTTCGCCACACCTTTTCCATGCTTCTTGATGTGTGGGACCCAGTCTCCAACATCAAGTTCTTAGTCGACACTGGCACCGAGTTTAGCATTTTGCCTGCAACAACAAGTCACAAATCACTCCCTCTGATCATAAACTTGTATGCAACCAATGGATCCCTGTATACAAATAGAGCTCTTACACTCAACCTCGAGCTTCTACATAAAAATAATTTGCAGATCTCCATAATCGATGCCAACAGCCCATTTGCATCACTGCTGAAGTCTTTTCATTCACTTACTCAGCCATACTCTGCAACCCATCCTATAAAGCATTCTGTTACTCATCACATCGAAACAACTAGTCAATTTACACATACTAAGTCCTTGCTACTTCTAAGAATTATCCATGCAAGCTCCAGCAGCTGGTTATCTGCACTGCATGTCGTTTCTAAGAACAGAGAACTACGACCCTGTTGTAACTACAGCTCTCTCAATGCTCAGATGCCGATGGATTGTGACCCAATTCCCAACTCTTTACATCACAACTTTCCGGATGTTCCATCTTCTCCAAAATTGATTTGGTTAAAGCATTCTGCCAAATATCAGTCCACGCTTCAGACATCCCCCCAAAACGGTTATTATCACCCCATTTGACTTGTGTATGTCCGGATGCAGTTTAGACTGAAAAATGCAGCACAAACGTTCCAGCATTTCATTGATGAAGTTTTACGAGGACTACCATTTGTCTTCACAAGTAAGGATGCTGCTGAGCATCAGGATCATCTAATGCAAGTCTTCAAACATCTGGATGATTATAGTATCCAAATTAATGTAGACAAGAGTGTGCATTGCGTTTTTCTGTTGATTTTCTCGGCCACACAGTTTCTGCAGCAGGTATCACTTCACTCATTCAACAGTTTCCGAGGCCAACTGCACAGGGCCAGCTCAAGGAATTCCTAGGGATGCTTAAGTACTACAACATATTCATTCCGAAGTGTCCTCTATTTCTCCAACCTATGTTATTCCATAATCTGACCAAGCAAGAGAGGTCAGTCAGTTGTTCTTGTCTGGACTCCTGAAGCCGATATTGTCTACGATGCTGCTAAGCAAGCCCTCAGTGCGGTAACTACAATCGTTCTTTCCCAGTCAAGGTGCCCCAACGTCCATCACTATTGATGCCTCCAACACTGGCACTGGAGCTGTTCTACAACAATATGTCGAAGGTGGTTAGAAATCTTCAGCCTTTTATAAAGTGATCAAATGGTTTTGGCATTTAGTAAAAGACAAGAAGTTCCACATCTTCACCGACCACAAGCCACGATCTACTATCCTCAACACCAAGTCTACTTACATTTCTCAACAATATCGTCATATTGACTACATTTCGCAGTTCATTACAGACATCAATACAGCAAAGGTCAAAATAATACTCCAGCTGATGCCCAGTCTCGCAATGTCTCTGCTGACGATTCTTCCCTCATCGATTATGCAGACCAAGCCAATGATGTTGAGTTGCAGCAATTGAAAGATAATCCTGCATTTCAACTGAGGAAAATTTAAGTTCCTGGAACAAATGTAGAGCTGTATGGTGATGGTTCTACAGACACCATTCTACCTCTGAAATTTTGACTTGCCATATTCAAGCAACTCTATGACATCACCCATCATCACAACATCTTCTGACCTCGAGATTCATCTGGACTGGTATCAATAAAGAAGTAAGAAACTGGACACGTTCTTGCATTAAGTGTCCTTCCAGGGTAACTCACCATACAGTTTCTCCTTCTGTGCCCTTCAAACCGGTTTCCTCTAGATTCGACCATG